CAGAGGAGAGAGAAAAATTTTTCCAGTCCTTATGAGGTCGAGCAAAAAGAAGTATCTATCGTCCGGACAAGTTGTGGCGCGCCGATCATCTATGGTTGCGCTTGGGCCATGGGATCCAGTCAATGACATGAAATTCGGCCCTCTTCCGGAGGGATGTTCCAAGTTCCTGGCAGGAACTTTGGATGGGATAACGTAGGTGAAGCTAGAAAACTTGCACTGCGACTCTTTTAGAGAGCCTTGCAGAGTCCGCCGAAAGAAGTATAGGTATACTGAGCGGTTATATCAGTATTGTGTGTACGTTCTAATCTATCATTTTTTTTTGTTGTGAATAAGGTATTTTTTGCCATTGTTCAATTCACTCTATCAAAAAGTGGTGTTGTAACTTATAGTGTAAGCCACTGTTAGCGAGGTCAATCTCCCTGCGACCTCCATGTCATGCCAAAGGTCTGCGGGTCCTTTACCTGATGTGTAGCGGGATGGAACAGAAGATTAGTATATATTAATATTTATTATTATGATTAAATACAGGGGAGAGGGGAAAAGGAGGAGAGATAGGTTGTAGATGCAACCTGCTGGGTAGCGGTCGTCGAGGGTCACTGTCCTCTGGCAAGGCTTTACAACCTGCCCCCAAAAGGAAGCTGACGTGGACCAGACAAAATCAAGATTACAGACTTTAGTATGTTACGCGACACCGAAACAGCATTGAAATGCCTTTGCTAATGATGTATCGTATGCCATAAACACATATCAATCAGTTGCATTCCAGCACTATGTATACATAATTTGATGTTTTCTTGTATGTATATTCGACACAATCATCTCAAGAATGACGCAGTCTATGACTCCATACTTTGACAAGCTCATTGAGCCAGTTTGAAGCTAAACTAGGCAGCTTCTTGGGCGGAGGTCCACTCAGCAGGATGATTAAGAGAGTGACTTATACCAATGTTATTTATATCCATTTGTGAATTTCTTTTCATCACCTCAGCTCGTGCTGCAATTTTTTCAGCTGGTACTACGGCGAAGTGACTTAGTGATCTTGTTTGTAAAGCTGAATTTTAGTTTGTCTGTATGTGCATAAGTGTTTGTGTGTACTACGTTTC